CGAGGCGAGTGCAGGCCGCCAGTCTGCAAAAGCGGACTATCGACCAGGATCGCGCGAAATAGTACGGTTACGACGTGTTTTATGATCCGCGGGTAAGTGCGCGTTCCTTTCTAGCGGCAAAGTGGCAAAACCATCGTGATAAAGGAACGCAGCCATAGGAAACGCCGCGGATGCTGAAAGCATCGGGTTCTACGTGCAAAAGGGAAATCCGCGTCCGCGTTTTTTCCTAAGCCTCTTTGAGTCTTTTTGTCGAGCCTGTTTGACCGCGCCTTCGTCTTTCAAGGTTGTTTCGTTGTACTGCAAAATGGTAATCCGTGCTATAACCAGCGAATATTGGGTTTACATGTTGCGAAGAGCGGCTGGTATTTATGGCAAGATTTTTTGTTTCGAGATGATTAGGTGATCGAACGTCGTTTCTAGACGATTATTGAAAGGCCCAGTAGTGCGTATGGTTTGAGACTGTACTTTGTGCAGTGTCGTTGATTGGCATATGATACGCGTGTTGTTCGTATTTTGTGGGAGAAATTTGATTTTGGTAGCAAAGTTTGGGAATGTCGTAAGTTTCAGCGAAGATAATCGATTTCAGGAAAATCGCGTAGCTGTGCTTTGGAACTGTCAGCAAACTGACATAGATTTGAGAAAAGTGTTAATTAAAACTGACCAAATCGAGCTAAATTTTTTGTATTAATGAAAAACACGGTTTAATACTTCTTGTGAGGATATATCAGTGTTCTTGTGGTCGTAACTTTAAAAAACACCTTCGATAAATTAATGTTAAATTAATGATAAAATACTGTTGTAAAGATCTGCCAAAATGTTTAGCCTCGACTGGGGCTTTCACTTCATTCCAGAAGGATATGGAGGTAAGAAAAAGTGCTTTAATAAGAAGAGTTATCAATTTGCCAGTTGACAAAATTCTGGACCCTTATTAACGCCCCCTACACCGTACAATCATCGATAAATCAAGCGCGGCAAGAATTTCTCAATGAAAATAAAAATCCTTAACGAAGAAATTCAAGGATCCAATTCCGCCTGAGCCATCAACGACCCTAACGCTTAATATCATTAATAAATCTTCGCATTCATATAACAATCCAAAAATAAAGAAGTTTCGCCAACTTCCACGAAACGCAGCCTAAAAAGGTACGACGTTCCCCTACGTTATTAATAAATTGTTGTACGCGAAGCGACGTAAAATTTGTCTTCGAAAACCCTGGAGAAACTTCGCGAACCTAAATGAAACGTAAACTAAAAAAGGAACGAAATTTCTCTCCTACGGATCAGTGTTATTAATAAATTTTTTGCACGCAGGCCGGTACCAAATTTGTCTTCGCAAAAAGGGGTATACTTCGCAAGCACGAAGTACAGTCCTTAATCCCGGCGAGGCCTTAGTCGCGAATTTATGACTTAATATATCGGTATTCCGACGAGCCCCGACGTTGAAACACCAAGAAAACGAGTAATCGCGCAATTTCACTGTCGTGGTGCTCGCACGAAGCCACCCCATGCTGGGCGTCCGCTGAAGCGACCGGCTTCCAATCCGCTGGAGCGCGTGGACCGAGAAAAAAGTCACGGTCGGAAGTATGGAAAGCTCGGTAGCAGGTGCCCCGCTGCGAGGTTTTCTCATTTTCAACGTTTTGACGTGGCTCGACGTACCGGTCTACCAACGTGGAATAATACATACCGCTGACCAAAGACCAATTAAATCGATCCGTAACGACAGCTCGTTTCTGTTTGGTTATCGCACTGATTTAATTAGCGATTCGTCGATAGCTGCGCGTGTAAACGTTGTAAATTGTCCGATCATCATTGTTTCTATTTGGTTTCCTCTCATTTGCATTCGTGTTGCAGGTTGCTTTGCATTATTTCCTCGCGAGTGATTAATCGTTTTAATACTCGCGTATCTTATTAAAAACGAGCGCTTGGATTCTTTGGATTTTCGAGTCTTTGAAATCTCGAATCTTTGGATTTTTCTGGATCTCCGTTTTCTTCTCTTTCTCTCGCCTGACATATTCCGCAACGAAAAATATCTTTCTGTCGCTACCGATCGTTAGAAATCGCATTTCTTCTATCGATTCATCGACGCGCTTGCAATCAAAAGAGTATCTGCTCGACCAGGGAAGTTGTATTAGTTAACCTTGTCAGATAGGTAGGTAGCTACCTTCTAGCTGGTCGTGCATGCTAAGTAGCTACTTCGTGGGTGGTGCTCCCGACTACCACCTACAGTTGCAGTCGCGGAGCACGTGGTATTCGTCGATCGATCGATCGATACGCGTTCCATCCCCGAGTGATTGGAATTGCTACCCCCTCTAGCGTGCCTCAGCTCGTCCGGCAGTGCGGCCCAAGGCTTCTTTGATTTCGATCTTCCGTTTAGCAAGTGCACGCCTGCTAAAGGTTCCTGTTCTGCTTTCTTACAAGTGTCGTTTTTTTCCTCTCTTTTAGAAATTGTCAAGATCCAAATCGGAAAATAGATAAAACGTGCAATATCGAATCGTAAAGATACAAATTTCTAGACAATCGTCCGTATTGAAAAAAGTTACACAACATATACGTTGTGGGATTGGCATAAAAATTAATATTCTCCGTCTATTAATCTGCGTACAAAATCTATTACAACTGCCATTTAGCAATACGATGATTCCTGTTATCCCTTTAACCTATCACCATTATGATAATTAACCTCTGTTTTCTAAGCTTTCTCTTTTCAAACAGGATTGTTCCTACTTATCTCGATAAAAATCTAACTTTTACCATAGGATCGGTTCTCGTAACGAACCTCACGATGTTACAACATCATTCGATATATGTATAATTAAAAAGCATTATAATCCCCAGCCATTCGATGCAACAGCACAACATCCGCACAATACCAACCATTAACATACATTCACGTTACCATACACATTCACGTTACCATACGCTCGACATTGTTGAACAATGAAACGTAGATCCCACGAATCTCGATCGAATCTCCACGATCGATTTGATTAAAATCTCTCCATTGAGCTCATGCGAGTCCTTGGAATCGACATCTAGGGCGGTCTCTTTAATGACAGTCGAGGGAAAGGGTTACGCCGTGGGTGGTGCCTTGCATCTGCATTTGTTCGATTCTGCCGTTTATCCGTCTGCGTTTAACCCGCTATCGATTCCTCCATCTGACGATCTATCTTTCGTTTTTGTTCCAGGTTCGGAGAAGAATGGATTTCCTGATGCCGGTGCTTCATTCGCGTGCCAATTTGGTGAGCTATCAAACAACTTTTGTTCGCCTTTCTGTCGATCATTTTTTTTTTCTTTCTGATTTATCGATTTACCGTCCATGGCTATTGAATTAGGATCGTTAAAAATTTTTACATCGACGACGAGACAAATTTTATGTTTCAATCGTCGCTGGCTTTAGAATTAACTTGTTTTAATTTTACTACGCCTGTTTGCAATATCGGTACTTTTCTCGCGTTCGTTCAACCACGAAACGATATTCGTTCGTCGTTTAATTTACCATCTTCGCTGTTTAACTTACCAACTCGCATTAACTTATTAACCTGTTAATTTAGATATTTAACTATGGCGATATTATTGGTTAAATTGTCTTAACGATACGATGATCAGTTTTTAAGCAATTCCGTGCGTCTTATTAGCAACGTATAGTTTCTTATATATTTTTCTAAGACTGCTTTCCGTGATTACGGATAATCAACTGTGCAATGATCTTTTTACAATTGATCATAAGAAGTGGAATTTATGCGAAATCTGGTCGAATAACGAAAATGATGAAGGTAAATGAGCGCGAAGATGGTTTTGCTAAAATTGGAAATATCAAGCGAACATAAAATGCCGTTTATAATGACAGGATGTTATAATGGAAGGTTAAGCGTTGTTTGTTAGTAGACCGTCGATGATTTTGCAAATAAAATACGCAGATATATCCGAGAAGTTCGCGATGGTAAAACTATATATTAAATATTTTTGTTCCTCCATTTGCAAGGCAAAAGTTAATTCGTTTTATTTCACGTGTCATTTCCTTTTTGCATCGTATGCAAATTCGAAATTGCTTTATTTTTCCTAAAAACAAATTTTATATCAATTTGTTTCGAGTTCGCTTCGATTCAAAGATTTTTCTCTTCCTGCAATATTAATTCCCCTTAATTTTCTTGTTAATTTTTCTTTTTCGTTATAAAATCTGACACAGAGTATCGCGTTACAAGGATTCTCTTAGAAACCACAATTTCAATTTTCTTTTCATTTTATTAGCATCGCAGTTATTAAAGTAATAGTGCCAATATCGGAGGAAAAAGTTTCGAAATCATCGTCTTCTTCGAAGCTATTAATTTGCACGACCATCTGCAATCAGCCGAAATTAGGTGAACCTGCAATCAACCTACACCGTCTTCCACACCTGCCTCTCTGTCTATCGTCATTCCGATTCTCCCTACACCAAAATCATCGGGCCACGAGTCGCAAAAAACTACATCACCGCAGAACAAGGCACGTTTTCAAGGTGGCAGCATCGTCACGATCAAAGAATCACTTTGAAACAGTGAAACACGCTGTTTCTGGAGTCGATCGCGCGTAACGGAGACACGTATCCGAAATAAAACGGACCAGATATTTCGTTGGACCACGGTATATCGATCTTCAGAACGTGGTCGTGGTCGATGCGTAACGAAACGATTAGGGTCTAGCGATTATTCGTGGTCCTATGTCGCAGTTAACCGGTCGTAGAAGTAATAACGGCCGGCAATCTGGTCCAGCAATCGATGAGTACGTGTTTATGTAAATTGAACGAGCCACGACACGAACCACGCGAGCAACTTTTCCTATACGCCCGGGACCTGGGCCGGTCGAGGGTTGGAATGCTTTGTTATCTCACGAGGAAGACGATATGTCCCCTCTGCACGCGAGGACTCCTCGCTTGCTTGCTCCTGCGAATGACGAATTTCGTGTTGCAAGGAGTTTCGGATCTCGTTCGACGCAGTTGTGGATGTTTTAATTCAGCCAGAGTCGTTTGACGTGATAAATTAGCGCGACACATCAGCGTGTAGATTTTTAATAGCTGTACGATTTTCCGAATCTCTCGAAACTCTCGAAAATCTCTCTCTTGGTCCATGCTACGATCGAACTTTTACATTATTTTCTATCGAGTCGGATGTTCGAAGCTCCGAACCGTTCAAATTTCTCTCCTTATCTGCTGGGAAGTCCGAAGAGGACAGAGATTGAGCGATAAACCATCGGTTTATGCGTTCTCCGGACAGCGATCGTGCAAAGTGAAAAAAGAAGCATCGTTTCAATGTAACCGAGTAGCTGACACAATCTCCGGCAGTTGTAACTCTTCTTGATCGACGATTATCCGCGGTAAATTGCACCGTCTCCGTTCGAAGGTACGTCGGATCGTGGCCGTGGCTCCGCGAGGCAGATGTAAAGCAGAATAATTGTAGTCATTACTTTGTTAAACAGGGTATCGCCACCGTTCGCTTCTTACTCGCCTTCCTTTCCGCGCTCTTTCCTCCTGTTCATCCTCCGCCCTGTTCACGCTGACGTACGCGCGACGCTATAAAATTTTTAGTACGCCCTGAGCGGCGTTATTGGCGCGTTCACACACGCGCGTCCCTCGCCTCGACGCCTCGACGTCGTTAACGACGCGAAATTGCGCCAGTGTAGCGTTTGTTTGCCGTAGTCGGCCACCATTCGCCACCGGTCGAACGTCCACGTTTAACCAGAACGAATTGCAACGACCGTTCGCGATAATGACAGGTATGCTAGGGAGAACGTCCTCGTAGACAGTATCTTGGTCGTGGTAGATTTTTTTCTTTTCTCCTTTCGATTCTTCCTTTTCTCCCTTTTTTATTTTCCTCGTCGTAAATGGTTCCTCGAGGGCATAGTTGCATCCAGATTTATCGGCGAGTTCCTCGGTGTCCGATTTATGGAAAGTCCATAGAAGAGAACGTCCGGTGTCGCCTGGTACCAGAGCCAAGTTATCGATAGTCCCGCCGATGGCTGTAACTTTTTGGCGTCACGGAACATCGATGCCGGAGACGGTGTAATTTATGAAAGTGGCGGTTGGGTGCGCACAGCCGATTTATTGGAAGTCGTTGCATAGAACGGTGGCGGCGTTCGCGGTTCAATGATCGAATAGGCGGTTCCGCGCAGATAATCGCTACAGAGGATGCGAATGAAATTGGTCGTTGCCTTGTGTTTGCGTAGTTTGCGGTCAATGGGAATAGTTGCGGGAAAAGGGTCGTTCGTGGTCAGGAAAATAGAGAGACCGGAGGAAGCTGCTCGAACAAGTGCCTTGTCCTTTGGTCCTTTTTCAAATTTATTCCCATCTCTGGATTAATTGGTAGAATTATCGATTAATATCCGTTAGGATTCCACAAGAATAGCGTTTGTTAAAAATACTTGATAAATTCTGGAAACTTATTGGGAAGTAATACTTTGATATCTTCGGTATGCCAGAAATTAATGATATAGGAAGACAATATAATTTTTAGGATCGGTCGACCGTGTACGGAATTTAAAAACTGCTTTCTCGTAGAAGATGAAGAACGTATACTCTTCGTTTTCTACGATATAGCAGCGAACACGGTAAAAGTGCGAAGATATTTAAAAGTGGAGGAATAGCGGATCCCCACCAGAGTCGGTAGAATCCAGTTCACAAAGTCAACGTGGCCGCGTTCTACCGGTCGGCGAGGTCGTACGCAGAGTTCGTCGTAACCGTACCAGACGCAATGGAATAGCATGGTCGTTCGTCGAATGGGAGCCGCCAGAGGCCGATCAATTATGCCGGTCGATTCCAGGCCACGAAATGTCAAGGCTCCACCTCGATGGAATTCTAAGCCAGCCTCATCCTCGCCGCTCAGTCTCGAACCTGATACGTGCGTGCTCGTGACACGAGCGTCATTGATAATGATGCGCTTGCCGTTCCTTCACGGGAATATCGATTCGATCAGCTTCTTTTGTAACGAGCCTACGCGATAGTATCGTAATCGAGAAGGTGGAGCACAGCTGTGTGCAAGAGTTTAAGAATTTCGTCATTGATTCCATATCGATATTAGACGAAGCGTTTTATCGCACAGGAAAGTTTTACGAAGATAAAGTTTGACGAAGTATACTCGATAAAATCTTCAAAGCGGATGATTTATTCGCGTTACTTCACTGTTCAAAGAAGAAATTGCGTATTTAAAAGACTGACATTTTAACATTTTTACGTCGTCGGTAGAATTCGAGGAATTATTTCAAATAATCGCGGCAGTTTATTTTAATTTCTACCTCCACTATATTCCTACTAAGAGCAAGGTACACGTATTACTTCATCAAAGATTATTCTCGGCTAAGTATCGCAAAATTAAATAAGCGCGCATGGCTCATCACCGAGTCGCCGACCAAATTCCAAGGCAAAGTGGTTACCCACCAACTTCCCGTTCCCAATTTTAAAGCGGTCGATCGTCGCGCGAACTCCATCAAAATTTTAATTTACCGCCGGTCGTACCTTAACCACGGTCTCCCAAATTAACCGTCGAGTATCGGGAGGCTTCTGGAAACGAGCTTCTTGGCTCGAGCGAACTCGAATGGGAAGCTCTCTCGCGTAAGAGGCAGTTGGCGCGAATAACGCCGCGTCCCGGCGTCACGTCCGGAGCGATGATGCTCGCTATACGGCGGAAAGGCGAGGCCAGATGTAAGTACTCGCACGTACGCACACGCGTGTGCCAAAGTATAATAAACATAATCGCGGTAGCACGATGAGAGGAGGCCTTGGCCGTCTCCCTTCGGTCGTGGCCGGCACGCCCACCGCTACTACCATCGTGCCGTGCAAAGAGAAAATACTGGCGTGGCAATCAACGGTTTTACACCTGAGCATCTACACGTAGGTCGGAGGCGGCCGAAGAAGCGAGCCAGAGGTTAAAGAAAGGATGGAGAAAGAGACCCGATAACTTCTCTTCTCTCCACCTCTTTCTTCTCCTCTTTTCCTTCTTCTCCTCTTCTTGCTGCTCCTTCTGCTCTTGTCCCTCCTTTTCTTCTTCTTCTTCTGCTACTTCTTCTTCTCCTTCTTCTTCTTCTTCTTCTTCTGATGCCGATGCCGATGCTGCCGTTGTTGCTTCTGATCCCGAGCGAACGAGCAACTTGCCTCGCTTGGACTTGTGCATCGGCTCGATAGGGCCGAGCACGATGCACGCCGACCTACCCTGAAGGATTATCGACAAAGCATCTCTCGATACGCTCCCGTTGCCTCGACTGCTCCCGTTGC